ATACATGGGCCATTTTCAATAGCTTTTTGTATGTTTACCCAGATACAGTTTTTTCCCATCAAAATCCCATTAAATTCACATTACATTCCATGAAATCCCATTAAATCACCACGAAAATCACCATTAAATCACCATAAACCCATTAAATCACCACGAAAATCACCATTAAATCACCATAAACCCACTAAATCACCATTAAATCACCATTAAATCACCATAAACCCACGAAAATCACCATTAAATCACCATGAAAGTTCTACATCAAGCTGATGCTGGGACCAGGCGACCCCTCATCGAGGCCAGGCGGTGAGTCGGTGATTCGCTTCACGTTTTTTTTTTTTAATTGTGTGCTAGTTATGAGGTTTTTCATGAGATATAGATTTATAGATAATATCATATAATATCTATACCTATAGTTATAGATAATATCTATATTTACATATGTATATATATATATATCTACACGTGTATGTACACAAAGGTATATATCATTAATCAGAATCAGGTCTTCCATAAATCAGGTCTTCCATAAATCATGTTTATCACGTCATAGATATTCTGATCCACTTGAAGACAGGAAAAAGCAAGGAATTGGAGACTTACGACCCAGCACTTAGCACCAGGGACTTTTGCCGAGCCAATGATTTCGCAAAATTTACCAGTGGATTTACTGCCAGAACTTGGGAATCTAGATTCTGGAAGTTTTTTGGCCTTTTGTGTTTTTTTTTGACGTCTTTTTGGGCCATCGAAAAAGGACTATTCAGCATGATGGATTCAACTGGATCATCATGGATTCTATCTCAACATCGGTGAATCTCCCATTGACACCCTGCCGGCATCATATCAAGTTGCGTTAAAGCCACGTGCCACGATAATATCATTGGGGGTTTCTCAAAAATTGGGGTACCCGAAGTATTATCTATCCCAGATGCTCCAATGTATGGAATATTTACCTACATTTACCCCAAAAATGGCCCAAATGTAGGTAAATATTCCATACATGGAGCATATGGGTATAAGAGGATTTTCCATTATAAACCATCCAGCTATTGGGGTACCACCAATTTGGGAAATCCTCATCTGGTTGGTGGTGACTGGAACCATGGAATTTTGAATGACTTTCCATATATATATATATTGGGAATGTCATTTCATCCCAACTGACTTTCACTCCATCATTTTTCAGAGGTATACCACAAAAACCAGTCAACCAGTCATAATCCAGGTTTTGCCAAGTCAAATCCACTTTTTTCCACGATGCTTCAACGGTTCAACCGTGAAAAAAAAGCCAGGCCGTGAGTTTTCCGAACCATCCCAGGCGATGGCGGAGAGGGATCGAGCGAACTTTGTTGATGGATCAACCCTGGGGCAACGTTGCTGTTTTTACACCTGGTAACACCTGGGTGTGGGTCAAAATTAAAAGCAATTGATTGAGGTATTTTCAGGATATGATAATTATATGGATGTGGATCAAAATGGAAGACCTAAAATTAGACCAGAGATTTTAGTTTAGTGACTAGTATTAACCATCCAAAAAAATCTGGGGTACCCAATTTTGACCCATACCCACCTGGTAAAACATGATAAGAAAAACCTGTTAAACGCCATACGACTTGTATACTTCAGGATTTTCATCGTTTGACGAGGCTTTTCATCGTTTGACATGTCATGATTTATATGTGTATATATATATGGAATAATATAAATAATTATTGTATATGTATATATATCATATGTATATATATATATATGTATATAAATATATTATTCCATATATTCTTCAAACATTGAGATCATCATGGGGCGATGGGGCCATCAGGCCATTGATCCGTTGTCACAACGACCGATGGACTCATGGACTGGTCAGAAAGATATGTGTCTTCCCATGTTAGACACCCAACCTTTTCCTGGTTGGTGGTTTGGAACATGAATTTCATGACTTTCCATATATATATATTGGGAATAATGATCCCAACTGACTTTCATATATTTTTCATAGGGGTAGGGCTCAACCACCAAGCAGTTTTTCATGAATATCTCAGATTGCAACTGGGCATGGGTTTGTCTGAAAAATAGATGTAAAAAACCATCCCATGGCAATCTCAATGGGGAACATGATGATCTCCACCCTCCACCTGCCTCAGGGAGCTCCCTGTTGGAGGCGAGCGATTCCTGGCTGCCTGCGGAAACCTGTGATTCCTGGCTTGTGATGTTTACCCCAGAGCTTTTTCCGATAGATTGTTGGATGATCTACAGTTATCCAAGTTTATTGGATTATCTATATTTATTGGATGATCTAAAAAAACATATATTGGATTATCTATATTTATTGGATTATCTATATTTATTGTTGGATTATCTACAGTTATTCAGTGGTATTATCCAAGTTATTTATTGGATGATCTAAAATTTCCCAATGTTCTTGGATTCCATGGATTTATACCACTGAATAGCTGGGAGAGCGGTTATCCAAGTGAGCGGAAGACTCGCCAATTTCCCTGGCAGTGGACTCGGGCTTAGAAGATTTCTGAACGAATTGGCAACCACCCAAAAATATTTTTTCCAATCCTCAAACAAAAAGCATTTGAGGGCTCAAAAGGCTCAATGGGATCAATTAAACAGCTTGGCACAAATTGGTGACTCCTAGTCAAGCACACCAGGGAAAGACTGGTTGGTGCTTCCAGATTGTGTTTATCATGGCATCTGATCGTCAAGGGCTAATATATGTGTCTATTGTGGCAGCCAGGAGTTCACTTGGATGTGCATCCCAGGTTCAAACGTTCAAAGCCTAAGCCACAAGTGGGAATCTTTCACATCTGAGTGGGTCATAATACGTTTTAGTAACTATGGGTTTGAAATGAGTTGCTTCATTACATCCATCCACTGGAAAATCAGAAATTGGTCGCAACATTGGTCTTGAGTAGGGTCCCCAGTTGAAACCCTGTACCCTCTGGTGTCATAGTTTTCCTGGCTTGCCGGAAAACTCGCCGGATTTCATTCCATGATGTTCGCAGCGAACTACACCTTCATTGATAGACTGGTTGGTGGTGACTGGAACCATGGAATTTTGAATGACTTTCCAGAAACAGTTGGGAATGTCATCATCCCAATTGACGAACTCATATTTTTCAGAGGGGTAGGGCTCAACCACCAACCAGTAGATCATGGCCCTGATTTTTCCATATTCTACATGGTTTTCCGATATTTTCCCCGGCATCCACGATTTTTTCGGGGATTTCCCAGCTAGTTCCATGTTTGAAAAAAATGCTGGTGTCATACCTAGTTCTATCATGTTCCATCCCCATAAATCACAACAACTCCCCAATTCGATCTGCCTTCTTTACTGGAGACAGATGACATGATTAGCTCCGTCCTGTTCTTAACTTTGCAAGTCGAAGCAAATCACCATATAATATTACTGACATTCCACTAAAACTACCATAAAATCATTCTAAATCACCATATAATATCATAAATCACTGAAATTCCACTAAAGCTACCATAAAATCATTATAGATCCCCATATAATATTATAAATTACTGAAATTCCACTAAGACTACCATAAAATCATTATAAATCACCATATAATCTCATAAATCACTGAAATTCCACTAAAACTACCATAAAATCATTCTAAATGCCCATCAACCTCCCACAACAACTTGAGATTGACACTGTGCCAGGGCCCAAAGAGGCCACTCCGAGGCCGGTTCATGTGGTTTGTTTTGGGACTTGGACCATAAACACTTTGGGAAAACGCATGGACCATGGGGGTTCAACCAGATTTTCAACCAGATGTTCTGGTGTTTTTTTTGATGCAAAACTGGGGATTTAAGCATCGAGCACGGTGAGAACTTCAGTGGCTTTTCATGGGGTGAGAACTTCAGAACCAGCTACTAGGTCAATCTTACATGGATACTTCAATCCTAACTAGTCTTTTGGTATCTACATGGGAATATCTATGTTCACCAGCAAAGTTTTTGTCATTTTTTGCAGGGTATCTAAGATTGGCAATGGCTAAATTAGGCATTTGACCCACTCCTTGGTGTGCGGTGCCTAATGGACTCCTTGATAGAGTTCTGAGTTTTGAACCAGCGAGATGGCCCGGTTTATCCACAAGCCTGGACACTTGTCAAGATCATTCTGTCTGAGCCTTATACTATAACTGGATATAACTGCTTGGTGGTTTGGAACATTTTTTTTTATTTTCCCCAATAGTTTGGACGATGATCCAATCTGACTTTCATATTTTTCAGAGGGGTTGAAACCACCAACCAGATAAATACATGGATATGACCCAATCATCATGGGCATTGCACCCAAAATGATTTGGAATATGGTCAATTTTCAGTCATGTGGGCGATGATCAATATATATATATATATATATATACACCTTCAGTGGGTAGAGGCTCTGGTTGGTGGTTTCAAACATGGCTTTTATTTTCCATAATATATGAGATAATTCTTCCCATTGACTGATATTTTTCAAGATGGTTAAAACCACCAACCAGGGCTAATCGGGAAATTTTTTTTAACCAAGAGTTGCCTAAGCCTCGATAAACTAACAGACATAGTGAACTGGAAAATCCCCATAATGAGAAAATCATCGAAGTTAATGTTCCAGTTCCAAATAGCTATCAGCTCTGCAAAAAAGAATGACCGGAGGGTAGCTATCATCATATATCCCAGTAAAATCTCATGAAAATCCCAGTAAAATCCTATCTGGTTGGTGGTTTGGAACAATTTTTCCATATATTGGGAATGTCATCATCCCAACTGACGATTCGTCATATTTTTCAGAGGGGTAGGGCTCAACCACCAACCAGTAGATCATGTCCCGGATTTTTCCATATTCTACATGATTTTCCGATATTTTCCCCAGCATCCATTGAGTAAAATCCCATGAAATCCCAGTAAAATCCCATCATTGATGCTTAAATCACATGAAATCACAAGTATTGTTGGTGAAGAAGGCCTTTGAGAGCCCCCCAAATACTGAGGATGGAAGGTCGCGCCAAAGTTCCGCCGTTGAAGGTCACGAGGTGCCCCGGTTTCCTGTCACCATCAAACACGATACCCTCTGGTAAACAAACATAACTATGGAAAATCAGCATTTTTGATGGGAAAATCCACTATAAATAGCCATTTTCAATAGCTATGTTAGCTGACCAGAGGGTATGATGTGTGATGAATATCTAATTATGATCCATCGTAAAAAAATCTATATGAAAAGCATATGATATTTCACAATCAAAAAAATGGTGAGATTCTTAATGGAATTGTTTTTTTCATGGGAATATCATGAGAGAATATGACCAAGGATCAATGTGATATGGATCATTTTTTTCTGGCAAAATCATCCCCAAGTGACAATTTCAGCCAGATATCTCAGATATGTGATGATTAGTGGTATACAATGGTATATATACCCTCTGGTAAATTAACTTGTTGACCCTGAAAATCACCATTTTTTAGAGGAAACTAATCTTCCAACCCCGTTTTCTGCCAGGGTCTATGTTAATTTACTGGAGGGTAATCATTGTGATATGGTGTATATTAGTGTATATACACTAATACAATGATTATTATACCATTTCAGCCACATATATATACACCATAATCATTGTGATGATCCTTTTTTGCTTTTCCTGTGCGACACCATTGTGCTTAAAGGTTTTCTTGCAAGCACGAAAAAGTGAAGCAGATAAACCAGAGGATATTATGCCTGAAACCAACTGAGCCATTAAAAATACCCTGGTTGATTATTTACTATAGAGACTTTTGCTACCTTTTCTCTACTGGGGAGTATGATACCCATAGTAATCCCATAGTAGGGCAACCTATCAACCAACTAGTATTTCATGACGGGATTTTACGGTGTATTTTTCATGGCTCAACTCAATGACTTTTTCAGCACATGGCGACCTGTTTAACCAAGCAGCCGCTGTTTCAGTCTCACGAAGCCTCCTCCACAGCTGCCAGCGAAGTTGTCGGCTGACTACGAGGTAAAGGGGGGTCGGGGGCGCTAAGGCGGAGCCGGAACTTGCGATTTGAGAGACCCCAACCAGCTATCATCATACCCTCTGGTTATTTAACATAGCCATGGAAGCCATGGCCCATTGAAATAGATGGTTTACCTATTAAAAAATATTAAAAATGGTGATTTTCCATGGCTATGTTAAATAACCAGATGGTATATCCCAGTAAAATCTCATGAAAATCCCAGTCAAATCCTATCTGGTTGGTGGTTTGGAACATGGAATTTTATGACTTTCCATTAATATTGGGAATGGAATAATCATCCCAACTGACGATTCGTCATATTTTTCAGAGGGGTAGGGCTCAACCACCAACCAGTAGTGATTTTTTGGGAACTCAGGTTATGGCCGGTTATGGGATACGATGAGCAGGGTAGCATGAGATGCTGTGAATAATGTGAATATTTTTGCTTCGAAGGGTTGGTAAACAAGGGGTGAATCACAGGAGTGTTCATATTTTTTTTTTCGATCAGCATGAGATGATACGTTAGGATGAATCAATATCAACATCACTATGTATATATATATATATAATTATATATATAGATACAGATATGTGTATATATATATATCCTCATGACAATGATATTTAGGTTCGAAGATTTTAAGGGAATCACAGAAGTGGGTCTTAGATGGTATTGCTAGGGTTTTCCGAGTAGATGAAGATCCCAGACGGAACAGTCCAAATGTTCGATCACAGCTCCACAGGCATTCATTTTGGTGAGTCTCTATAACATATGGTTGCGACACATGATACGGGGTCACTGTTTGGTCATGGATTTCTTCCCGCCGTGGTGGATTTTGGGCTTCACATGCCCCTGAAACTTCTGATCATGGAAACAAAGTCAGATTTCGGAATGGCTTACCAGATACTGTAGTCATTTCTGGTTAAAAGGAAACCACACAATCTTTGGGGTTTGCATCTTTTGAGGTTTGTTGTTTCTCCTCCCTGGTTAAATGTTTGACATAGGTGGTTAAAGCCTGTGCCTGACAAATATCCAAAATAGAGCTTTGGGCCTGGATCCTGGAACCCAGCCTTCCACAATGGAGCTTTTGGGGCTTGGATTCTGTCAAAACTATGTCAGGTTTCCCGAGGGTATTGACTAGCTTTGGTTTACCTTGATGTATACCAACCCTCAAAAAGATAGAACCATAATTTCTTCCTATTTTTTTAGTGCTGTAATTGTACTTTTCCTATCTTCCTCTGTGGTGCTCTACTTGGTTCATATTGTTCGTTGGATGCTCACAGAGTGCTGTTTTGATTTTGATACCAGGCCTCCCCCAAGCTACGCAAACTCACACAAACATATACCCTCTGGTTATTTAACATAGCCATGGAAAATGGCCCATTTATAGATTTACCTATAAAAAATGGTGATTTTCCATGGCCATGTTAAATAACCAGATGGTATATCATATATCTCGGTCAGGAGGACTCTGCTGAACATTTGGGTGAAGGTGCCTTCGCCATTGTCCGGGATCCGAGATTGGCTGTTGGGTTTTGAAGACGATCCCTGGGATGATGGAAGTTGGTCAATTATGTATGATATAATATAAATGTATAACAACCATAAACCACATATAAACCATAAACCATGTATAAAGCCTGAATTAATCTGAAAGAAACCAGTAGTACCGCACAAGGCGGTGGCGGAAGTTTCAAAGATAGGATGCTGTAGGAGAGGCGAGTTGTTGTGATGTATGGATGGCAGAGCGAATCCACTGATGGACCGAAAGGTGGTTGGAGTTGTGTTTTTTGGAATGGTTGCAACGGTTGCCGTGGTCACCTCACCCAGAATTGCTGGATGTAGTGTGGTGTAGCGCAGCTGTAGTTGTAGTGTAGTGAAGTTGTAGTTGTAGTGTAGTGTAATTAGTGTAGTGTAGTTGCAGTTGTAGATGTGGTGTGGTGTAGTGGGTGTAGTGTAATGTAATGTAGTGTAGTGTGCTGTAGTGGTGTGTGCAGTGTAGTCTAGTGTAGTGTAGTGTAAAGTAGTGTAGTTGTAGTTGTAGCTGTAGTTGTGATTAGTGCAGTGTAGTGTAGTGTAGTTGGTGTAGTGTAGTGTAATGTAGTGTAGTTGTAGTTGTAGTTGTAGTTGGCGCTGTAGTTGTAGTGTAGTGTAATTTGTCTAGCGTCGCGTTGTGTAATGTAGTGTAGTTGTAGTTGTGCCTTAGTGTGGTGTAGTGTAGTGTAATGTCATTTGTGTAGTGTAGTTTACTGTAGTGTAGTTGTAGTTGTAGCTGTAGTAGGAATAGTAGTTGTAGTTGTAGTTATAGTTGTAGTGTCAGTAGTGCAGTGTACTGTAATTAGTGTAGTGTAGTGTCGTGTCGTGTCGTGTAGTGTAGTGTAGTGTAGTGTAATTAGTGTAGTGTAGTGTAATTGGCGTAGTGTAATGTAATTAATTTGTGTACTGTATTGTAGTATATTTGTATTTGTAGTTATAGTGGTAGTGTAGTCCAGTTGTAGTTGTAGTTGCAGTTGTCGTTGTAGTTTTGGTCGTCTGTCTATCTATCTATCTATCTATCTATCTGTCTATCTATCTATCTATCTATCTATATGAAAGTTTGAAGACAAAGCAGGTCTACGAGACCTCCTCAATGTTCGAAGTTGACAACGTCAAAGAGATACGAATTCTGCAAAAACGAAGCAAGTCTGCGGGCTTCCTTCAAAAATGGAAAGTTGAGTGCAGAACTGACGGCCTCGTACCAATGCGTTTTGCGATTTCTCCGCTCCATCTGTCTGAAGTACTGTGCCTGCCACGAAAAAGTGAGGCCAGATCATACGAAGTGCTGCACCTGTCACAGAAAATCATCTTACCAAACCTGAAGATCTGATGCTCCAAAATGCAGCCCCTCTCACGAAATTAGCGCCCGGACCTCCTAACATGACGAACATGTCTCTTGTACTGCGCATGCCACGCGAAATGCATCTTTGCAGATCTTCTTTAAATGTCCCACGCCTGCCAACACTTTTGAAACTGCCACAAAACCGTCACGTTTTGTTCACTTTTGACAAGATGCACAATCCTTTGCGCCTGCCACGCAAAACGACATCTGAACGTCCAAAAGTGCTCCGCACCCGTCAGTTTCTTGCACTTTTGACTTCGAAATGTGCCGCGCGCCGCAACGGCGTGCACTTTTTCATCATCTCAAGTTCCAAAAGTGGTCTGAGACCGTCAGTATTTTACACTTTTTCCTTCCACATGTGCTTCGCGCCACAACGGCGTGCACTTTTTCCACATCACAACTTCCAGAGTGCTCCGGCGTTGGTGTGTTTTGTCCGTCTTTACTTCGAAATGTGCTTGGCGCCACAACGGCGTGCAATTTTTCACTTCTCATCTGGCCAGATGGCTCCGCACCCGCCACTTTAGCGAGCCTACTTTTCGACCCTCCAGAGCCACAAACCATTGGAAAAACACAATGCTTCGCGACTTGTCTACCTCTTCGCGCACCTGTATCTTCTTTCTTCTGGCTCCTTCTCTTTTCTGGTCTTCTTGCTTCTTGCTTCTTGCTTCTTCTCTTCTCTTCTCTCCTCTTCTGTTCTCTTCTCTTCTCTGACTCTTCCCACCTCTGCTTTTTCAGCTGTCCATATTGTCGGACTTCTAAACTTCCTTCGGGCATTTATATTGTAAAGCGGGGAAAAGCTGAGAATTTGTTCAAACAAACACGCATGCAAATCTGTAAAATTCATTGAAAATGAGCCGAACCGATTCAACATTCTCGGGATTGATCCGTACAAAAAGTTGTTTATAGGTTAGTATCGACGAACATAGTTTCAGGATTATTCTTGATAGGTCCCATTCTTGTTGTTTCACATTCTCATGTTTGTTCTTCTGAAATCCCTTACTTTTTTTTAAGCCCCATCTTCTTTTAGGTGCGTATTTCATGTCGCATTTTTAACCCCGGACCTCGGTCTCTGAGGTCCGAAGCCTCCGGCGAAAACGTGACGGCCTGCCGGCGTGCCGGCTCAGATGGGGCGATTCTCCCTGGAACCAGAAATTCTTGGATTTTTTTGTGGTGATAGGAAGTTTTGAGGCCATTTTCAGACACAGTGATCTATGAAATTGTTGGCAATTTCATACACACTTCCTTGTTCAATTCCCATTTTTTTTTGATGAAAACAGTTTTGTAGGCGACTTATCCCAAAGCACTGGACCAAAGACCATTGGACGAGGTTGCATTGAAGGTGGTGGAGAAGTGCGCCAAAAAAAATCCACCGTGGCCATGGTTGATTTCTGGTGGGTATCCTCTACCATCGTGTCTCTTTTTCAACAGTGGGCCGGGAAACCTGGGAGATGTTTGAAAGAACTGGGCAACTCACCACAAATTACCCTCTGGTAATTTAACATAGCTATTGAAAATGACAATTTATAGTGGATTTTCCCATTAAAAATAATGATTTTCCTTAGTTATGTTAGTTTACCAGAGGGTATATCAAATGATGATATGTGGAAGTTCCATGAGGTTCCCTTTTCATGGGGGTAGCAGCTGGTTCTAAGGGTTTCAACACTAAAATGCTCCGATTTTTTGCATGATTTGGGGGTATCTCCAGGGACCCCATGTGAACAAGAAAGGTTGGCAGCCCCAACCAACCAGCTGTCATATGTAATTTATGTTTAGGGGGTCAGTGGTGAGGGGGTGAAAACCCAAACATCCCTTAAATTTTAGTGTAGGTGGCTATCCCTAGGAAGTCGAAAAAAGGAGTATCCGGTTTTGAGTCCCACCAATTTCAACTATCGGTTGAGAATTCCATGACAGTATAGGCTATATAGGTTGTTGCCCAAGACCATAATTATTTCGGAAAGAACCTGGCATAATCCTTCCCCTGAGCAGTATCCATGTTGGACATGCGATTCGTATATTCTTCAATATCAGAGACTGGCAAGCCCAAAAGTGGATCCCCACCAGACATGAACAGTAATTTATAGTAACCCCCAAAAAATAAGAAAAACAGAACAGTAAAATCCTCCGATATAGTGGTAATTACTACTGTTCTACCCTTTCTGGGGTTGCTATGGCAATTGATCACGCCCAAGCGGCCGAAGCCTTTCCAGGTATCCATTGCATATCCGAAACATGCTGCCACAGTTGCAGCGCGAGGCTAGAGATGTACCTATTTGGGTCAAATTTGGGCAACTGACCAGTCGCCATTAAGATACTTTAGCCTCTGGTAATTTAGTCATATTCAATAGTTCGCTATGGAACATTTTACCATTTTAGGCGGTCAAATCATGTCAAATCATGTCAAATCATGTCAAATCATGTCAAATCATGTCAAATCATCATAAATTATCTATAAGTAGGCACTTTCCCATGACTATGTTAAACAACCAGAGGGTAAGTATTCAGAAGCCTTTTGGTGGCCTCCAAATGTGTGCGACTGCCCAAAATCCACCAATGGTCTGGGTATTTCAGCATACCACCTGGATGTCGCAATCTCCACAGTTGATGAGAACTACTCCGATACGGGGAGGAGTCAGGACTTCAATGGGAATTCCAGGATCCGATTCATTGGAGGTACCTAGCATATATAAGGCCTATTTTTGAGGCCTATGTAAGGGGATATCCCCACAAAATATGGCCTTATATGGTACAGTACCTCCATTTTAGGATCCTGGAATTCCCATTGACTTAGTAGGTGCACATCCCAAATTCCAGATGGATTCAATGATGATCTCGATGTGATTTGATCTAATATTTGCTCCACATCATATTTCTGTGGTGTTTCCACAGTGATCACATCCCAAAAGCACCCGGGTTTTTGGTCATTTTTTGGTCATTTCGCAGGTGCGAATTCAGGGCAGTCTCCAACATCGACACATCCTGCGACTTCTATCCTGCATGGAAGATGAGTGGTGCCCCCATTGAGGTGGACCACCACATTGGACACCAGGAATCCACGACTGGAAGATACTGGAAGTGGGGGATATACAAAGTGTATATTCATTATATTATATTATTTAATAGATTCTCCGATTCTATATACATGTTAGGACTGTTAGGATGCACAGACATTTTTGCTTTTACAAGATTCCAAGATTCCTTTGGCCATTGCTGCCTTTACCTTGTTTGCTGTTAGCATTGGGTTTGAAGTTTTTGTTCACACTTATTCCCAGGAATACGAACCGGAATTTCGACTTCCCATTCTGTGCCGCAGCGCCTACCGGCAATGCAGCCGGTGTGCTGAAACAGGAATATTTCATGCAAGACCTGGCGACTGGAAATGTGTAAGCATTGAAATTGCATCCTAAATTTGACAATCTATGTCAAGTAGATTGTTCACAATGAGTGAGTCATCCAGAATTCGAAGTGGCCTGTAGTTGTTCTCACACCATCCGTACAAATGCAGGACGATCATCCTAACAGCCATTGACGCACGCTGCAACCAGATCACCCAGTCGCAGAAGTGTCATGGACTCACATAGAAAATTAATTAGCCATCATACAGCACAACATAATTCTTACTATTTGATATCTTGTTTGATTGATAGATTTGATAGACCTATTATTCAATACTATTTACTTCATTTTACTTCCACCTTACCCGGATAGAAAACATTCAACTCAGCACTATTTCAGTGACATGTTTTTTTGGGGGGTTGCCGCCTGGTTTTTTTTTTCACCCCATGGTGGCCGTGGATGGCACCGCTGTGGGCGCTCCATGCACCGTGACTTTGGCTGGCTTCGGCCCATGGCGGGGTCGATGGACTTCGCAGCTTCCGAGGTGGGGATAATCATGGCAGATATGGAAAACCCCCATAGGTAAATCATCATTTTTAATAGGTAAATCACCAAGTTTCATAGGTAAATCATCATTTTTAATAGGTAAATCATCATTTTTAATAGGTAAATCATCATTTTTTATAGGTAAATCATCATTTTTTATATGTAAATCATCATTTTTTAATAGGTAAATCATCATTTTTTATAGGTAAATCATCATTTTTTTATAAGTAAATCATCATTTTTTTATAGGTAAATCATCATTTTTAATAGGTAAATCATCATTTTTAATAGGTAAATCATCATTTTTAATAGGTTAATCATCATTTTTAATAGGTAAATCATCATTTTTAATAGGTAAATCATCATTTTCAATAGGTAAATCATCATTTTTTATAGGTAAATCATCATTTTTAATAGGTAAATCATCATTTTTAATAGGTAAATCATCATTTTTTAATAGGTAAATCATCATTTTTTTATAGGTAAATCATCATTTTTTATAGGTAAATCATCATTTTTTATAGGTAAATCATCATTTTTTATAGGTAAATCATCATTTTTAATAGGTAAATCATTATTTTTTATAGGTAAATCATCATTTTGTATAGGTAAATCATCATTTTTTAATAGGTAAATCATCATTTTTTTAATAGGTAAATCATCATTTTTTATAGGTAAATCATCATTTTTAATAGGCAAATCATCATTTTTTAATAGGTAAATCATCATTTTTTAATATGTAAATCATCATTTTTAATAGGTAAATCATCATTTTTTAATAGGTAAATCATCATTTTTTATAGGTAAATCATCATTTTTTAATAGGTAAATCATCATTTTTTATAGGTAAATCATCATTTTGTATAGGTAAATCATCATTTTTTAATAGGTAAATCATCATTTTTAATAGGTAAATCATCATTTTTTAATAGGTAAATCATCATTTTTTTAATAGGTAAATCATTATTTTTAATAGGTAAATCATCATTTTTTTTAGGTAAATCATCATTTTAAATAGGTAAATCATCATTTTTTAATAGGTAAATCATCATTTTTTATAGGTAAATCATCATTTTTTATAGGTAAATCATCATTTTTTAATAGGTAAATCATCATTTTTTTATAGGTAAATCATCATTTTTTATAGGTAAATCATCATTTTTTAATAGGTAAATCATCATTTTTTATAGGTAAATCATCATTTTTTATAGGTAAATCATCATTTTTTATAGGTAAATCATACTTTTTAATAGGTAAATCATCATTTTTTAATAGGTAAATCATCATTTTTTTATAGGTAAATCATCATTTTATAGGTAAATCATCATTTTTTATAGGTAAATCATCATTTTTTATAGGTAAATCATCATTTTTTATAGGTAAATCATCATTTTTTATAGGTAAATCATCATTTTTTATAGGTAACTCATCATTTTTTATAGGTAAATCATCATTTTTTAATAGGTAAATCATCATTTTAATAGGTAAATCATCATTTTCAATAGGTAAATCATCATTTTTAATAGGTAAATCATCATTTTTTATAGGTAAATCATCATTTTTAATAGGTAAATCATCATTTTTAATAGGTAAATCATAATTTTTTATAGGTAAATCATCATTTTTTTATAGGTAAATCATCATCTTTTTTAATAGGCAAATCATCATTTTTTAATAGGTAAATCATCATTTTTTAATAGGTAAATCATCATTTTTTATAGGTAAATCATCATTTTTTATAGGTAAATCATCATTTTTTAATAGGTAAATCATCATTTTGTATAGGTAAATCATCACTTTTTAATAGGTAAATCATCATTTTTAATAGGTAAATCATCATTTTTTAATAGGTAAATCATCATTTTTTATAGGTAAATCATCATTTTTTATAGGTAAATCATCAAGTTTAATAGGTAAATCATCAAGTTTCATAGGTAAATCATCAAGTTTAATAGGTAAATCATCATTTTTAATAGGTAAATCACAATTTTTAATAGGTAAATCATCATTTTTAATAGGTAAATCATCATTTTTTGATAGGTAAATCATCATTTTTAATAGGTAACTCATCATTTTTAATAGGTAAATCATCATCTTTTTTTATAGGTAAATCATCATTTTTAATAGGTAAATCATCATTTTTAATAGGTAAATCATCATTTTTAATAGGTAAATCATCATTTTTAATAGGTAAATCATCATTTTTTATAGGTAAATCATCATTTTTTATAGGTTAATCATCATTTTTTTAATAGGTAAATCATCATTTTTAATAGGTAAATCATCATATCTTAATAGGTAAATCATCATTTTTTATAGGTAAACCATCATTTTTTTATAGGTAAATCATCATTTTAAATAGGTAAATCATCATTTTTTATAGGTAAATCATCATTTTAAATATGTAAATCATCATTTTTAATAGGTAAATCATCATTTTTTAATAGGTAAATCATCATTTTTAATAGGTAAATCATCATTTTTTATAGGTAAATCATCATTTTTTATAGGTAAATCATCATTTTTTATAGGTAAATCATCATTTTTTATAGGTAAATCATCATTTTTTAATAGGTAAATCATCATTTTTTATAGGTAAATCATCATTTTTAATAGGTAAATCATCAAGTTTCATAGGTAAATCATCATTTTTAATAGGTAAATCATCATTTTTAATAGGTAAATCATCACTTTTTATAGGTAAATCATCAAGTTTCATAGGTAAATCATCAAGTTTAATAGGTAAATCATCATTTTTAATAGGTAAATCACAATTTTTAATAGGTAAATCATCATTTTTAATAGGTAAATCACCATTCTTATCCTTGCTGTCCTGGACATTTCCCATTTAACGAATCCATTGAGAGCGTTGGTTCATGGTGAACGGGTGGCTCCCTTTCCACATTTGGTGAAGAAGAAAAGTGCGATCCCCAGCGAGATTGCCTTTCAATGGGCATTAAATAAGCTCACTAAAATCAAGTTTGACCAGCTGAGAGATTAAGATCCCACACAAGCAAAGTGGGGACATACAGGGACATAGCCTATTTCCAGCCCTTGTTACAGGACAACAGCCCTTATGTCTTAAACTCAGAAAGACATAGTTTTTTTCCCCACCTGCCAGGTGAGGGTTGTTAGATTTTATGTCAGTTGCTTCCTCCTCGTCCTCCTCCTCCTCCTCCTCGTCCTCCTCCTTCTCCTCCTCCTCCTCTCCTCTCTTCTCCTCTCCTCTCCTCGTCTCCTCTCCTCCTGCTCCCTGCCGGACTTCAACCACGACCATCCACGCCCAGTGTGCCCTGCCGGACCTCAACCACGACCATCCACGCCCAGTGTTCCCTGCCGGACCTCAACCGCGAGGATCCACGCCAGTGTTCCCTGCCGGACCTCAACCGCGAGTATCCCCGCCCAGTGTTCCCTGCCGGACCTCAACCACGACCATCCACGCCCAGTGTTCCCTGCCGGACCTCAACCGCGAGTATCCACGCCAAAAGATATGCCACATAGAGTGCCAGAAGATATGCCAGATAGAATGTTAGAAGATATGCCAGATAGAATGCCAGAAGGTATGCCAGATAGAATGCCAGATAGAATGTCAGCTAGAATGCCAGAAGATATGCCAGATAAAGTGCCAGAATGTTTGCCAGATAGAATGCCAGCAGATTTGCCAGATAATATGCCAGAAGATATGCTAGATAGAATGCCAGATGGAATGCCAGAAGATTTGCCAGATAATATGCCAGAAGATATGCCAGATAGAATGCCAGATGGAATGCCGGAAGATATGCCAGGTAGAATGCCAGAAGATATGCCAGATAGAATGCCAGATCGAATGCCAGAAAATATGTCAGATAGAATGCCAGAAGATTTGCCAGTAACAAAATGTATAAATGTCATGGTGGGGATCACACGAAGTAAAGTATTTTTTTTGCTTGGGAACCGTTTTGATTTCTGAAGCAATGCAACAGAATGATAAAATTTGAGGTTCGGTTTAGTCTCTCTTTTTTTGTCTTGTAAATTGACATACTTACTAACACATCCCAACTTTCTACTGACTTAATTTCATCCCAAATAGTTTTCACATCTGGCGAGAGATGAAAAATCCCTGGGGGATGATCAACAAACATCTGCAGATTATGCAGACCCTGGACCCGCTTGCAGATTTAAGTTCCAGAGAATTCATGACATACTATAATTATTAAAGGGTCCTTTAAAAAAAATGTCCGCAAATCATAGGGGATGGAAAAGTTGCCATCAGTGGCATTTTTTGTCTGTAGTCTCATGGATCAACACCTAAATGCTAGAGATCGCCCTTCATTTTCTTTTTTTTGGGTCCCCCGACAACGACTTAGCCAGAGGGAATCATCTTGATTCATGGCCTCCCAGATTCATGGCTTAACTTGAAAACTGAACCAACCGCTCAAAAGCATCTACCACCATCTGTAGTCATCCTGCAGTAAACAACATGGATGAAGATGAACAGTTCAAGCCAATCCTCACTGAACTGGACATATTGTTTGAATCATTTGAATCCTCATAACATTGATCATATTTGTCTGTATTTGTCTATGTTAATCTATAAAAAAAACAACTATATTTATCTGATATATTCCACAGGATGGGGCCCCCCAGTTATAAGTTGGTTTATAAACCATGAAATAATCCCCAGTAACTAGTTCGTTATATCTACCATAAACCAGTGAATTCAGCCACTTATAAACCAACTTATATAGCTATCTTGGGGGCCCCATCCTGCAGGATGATGATAAAATCATCAAGCGTCTCTGTTGTGACTTCGCCCCGCCAGACCGAGTAGCGCCCTGCTGGCCTCGGCCGCTTCGGCGCCCGTTGCGCTGGTCGTAAAGAGAAGGACCAGGCCGTTCCTGTGGGGTTTCAGGGTCCAAGGCGCTGTTGGATTTTACCCTCTGGTAATTTAACATAGCTATTGAAAATGACCATTTATAGTGGATTTTCCCATTAAAAATGGTGATTTTCCATAGCTATGTTAAATTTCCAGAGGGTAAGGGTTGAACTCGAGTTGACAGATGCGTGGAATTACAATGAAACCAACATGGGATACTGGTTGGTGGTGACTGGAACCATGGAATTTGGATTGACTTTCCTTCTATTGGGAATGTCATAGTCCCAGCTGACTTTCATATTTTTCAGAGGGGTTGAAACCACCAACCAGGATATATCTAAGAAACAAAATGGACCAGGTAGTTTTTTGTTTTGCTTTTAGAGATTAGTATACTTTGCTGGGTTTAAAGTTCAAAGCAGTTTGTTTTTACCCCTAATAATGTCACCCTTTTCTAAATGGGGCCAAGAATCCACAAATCCAGTACCAAACGGGCTTTCATCAAGTAGTGTGTTTGTTAAAGGAGGAAGGGATTTACTGTAGGGTTTATTGAAATCAGTGATGGTTAGTTATATATATATATATTTATGGTATCATACTCATTGATTAAGTTCCACAGGGGTTGTTACACTCCAGGAACAAGGAATCTCTATCAAGCAACTATCAGATGGGTCACACTCCAACAGGTAATTTATCTACATACACACCCCTCATGTTCAGAATATGAAAGAATTCCCACCAAAGGTTGGGTGACTATCCACTATGTACTATTTGTAGGGGTGTGGTCTTACCAGTATGGACGCAACACATTAACCACCCAGCAGTCAAACAGGATGGGTTTTAAAACGGACAACATCACAAAACAATAACAATGTATAACAACAACACTACAGTGACTGAAAAGTGCTAGGTTTTGGCCATCATAAAGCAATCGTCTATTAAGATACAATGGCCAGAACTATCACTATTGCTTTATGATGGCTAAAACTAGATAGATAGCCTGGTTTATGATAGTAACCTAATTATTAATTGTTAGTTGCGGCCATGTCATAAACATCACCAGCCATACTTCAATTGGTTGGAATCCAAAAAAAAACATGCGACTCGTAATTGGGGATGGTGGATCCTATCAGCTGCCGCCTCAGGTTGCGTTGCTGTGTGGCAGAGGCCGGTTAAACATGCGTTTTCGCATGCTAAAAGATGAGTTTCCACAGGTCGAGGCCGGCCTTACGAAATACCCTCTGGTTTTTTAACATAGCTATAGAAAATGGTCCATTTACAGATGATTTTCCCAGCTAGAAATCTCCATTTATGATGCTTTTCCATAGCTATGTGAAATAACCAGATGGTATGTCATTTATGAGCAAAAATGGTGGATTCTAATGGTGATTGGCATTTCATGGGATTTCATGGTTTTTAGATAGCAAGTTGACCCACATCACTTGGTGAATTAACTCTGCTTTATGGATGATAGAACTATCATTAATAGGGGTTATAAACACACTTGCAACTGGGGGACCTCACCGTGTAGAAAAAACGGACATTTTCCATAGCTATGCCATGAATTATCAGAGGGTATGTGACCTGAATAAATATACTGTATTTCATTTCACCCATCTTCGAACTATTCTGCGGAGGGACGAATTTACTTTTGATCTCTCTGAAAAAAGTGGCACGACTTGTTGGCAGATTAGCAACTCTTTTTCTTGCAATTACACACTATGTCTACATTTGTAGCTGCACATATACAATTATATACTACTATAAACATGGACACAATGTATCCAATCATTGGGCTAAACAACTTAAATGGCACCAAGTTGGCATACATCTAGCATAGATCCAGCATTCACACAGATGCATACAATGTGGGCCCCCCCTAGATAGCTAAGTTGGTTTATAACTCCAATATCTATGGTTTATCGTACTTATAACGAACTAGTTAATGGGGCGAATCCAAACCAACTTAGCTATCTAGGGGGCCCCACATTGTAGGGTTTATGGTTGTTATAACATGTTACAACTATAGTTAGATGGATTATATAACCCAAACTTCTGCTACAGACATTTTCGTTTCAGCACAGGCCAAAGCTGTCCTGCCGCAGGAGGCTGTTCGAGGGATCATGGAGATCTCATGGAGATATATCATGGGTATGTCCAGACTGCTTGGTGGTTTCAAATATTTTGATCATTGGATCATTGGATCATTGTAGGGTTATATATATATATATAGATTCTATATATCTGGTTGGTGGTTTCAAATATTTCAATCATTTTCCATTTCATATATGGGATAATCCTTCCCATTGACTAATAATTGACTAATATTTTTCAAGATGGTTATTGCACCACCAACCAGCAAATGATTTAGCATTGAAAAAATTGAAAAAGCATAGAAAGAAGGATCAAAATCCGCAATGACGGACATATTTTTCAGACAGGTTGAAAGTACTTCTGAAAGTACATGAAAGTACCAAGCAGTTTAGTATTGAACCATTTAATCTGGTTGGTGGTTTCAAACATGAATTTTATTTTCCATTTCATATATGGGATGTCATCCTTCCCATTGACGAACTCATATTTTTCAGAGGGGTAGGTATACCACCAACCAGAATATCTCTTACCAATTTATCCCACAAAATACCCTTTGGTAAACTAACATGACTATGGAAAATCACCATTTTTGCCAGGTAATGGTTTACTTAGACATGGTGATAGTTTCTGGGAGATGGATTATTTAATCCGAAAATCCGAAACTCCGAAACGTCCAGAACTTTGGTCAAGCGAATCTGGGATATGTTCCACCCAAGATGTGCCATGGTCGTTTGGTCGTCCTCGTTGGGTCGTGTCAATGGTCGTCCTAGTCATCCAATCCAATCTGTAAATTTCGGCCTGGTAAACGTTAGCAAAAAACGATGGAACATCACCATGTTTTGAATAGGTAAATCAACGAACTAAATGATTAAATGGCCATTTTCAATAGCAAACTGTTAGTTTACCAGAGGCTAGGAATCTATGATAATTTTGATATACCCTCTGGTTATGACTAACAGTTCGCCATGGAAGCCATGGCCCTAATCGAAATTTAGATGATATTCCCAGCGACATCAACCTCCATAGAAATAGATGATTTTCCATGGCAAACTGTCAAATGACCAGAGGGTATAATTTATTTTCCCAACATGTGTGCTGACCATGCAACTTGACTATGGCCCCATCCCACTTTTTGCTAGGTACCCAAGGCCATATACCAAATCCACCAGTGGAATTGTCTCCTGAAGAATTAGGAAACTGCACATGAATACGAAGAAAAGGACTAGTGTGCCGAAAGATCTAATAATCTAATCTATGTTCTTCTTTTGTTTCCCTAAATCAATTGAAGTAGATTGCAAGCGAAGTATAATAGCGCCAACTTATGGGCTACATTCCGGTGGACGTCTGGAGATTTTTTCGGAAATGATGGCTTTTCAACTGCCCAAAATAGGTAACAACAACAACAGCCAATTTAATGCGTGTTTTTTGTGTCAAAGAATATAACCATGGATATAGCTCCGATGTTTTTAGTCAATTATGGATATGATTGTCCAACAATAGTTACCCTCTGGTAAACTAACATAACTAAGGAAAGATCCACCATTTTTCATGGGAAAATCCACTATAAATGGCCATTTTCAATAGCTATTTTGACAACCAGAGGGTAGCAGGGTCATCACCAGCAAAGATAGCTCAAGATTCTGGACTGCCTATGACCCGATAGCGCAGGTTACGACAGTCCGATCATCCCAAAACTCGGAGGATAGTCCCAGGTATCGGTCAAAGGTTCCTGCGCAACCACCATCCATACCAGATTCTGTGGTAAGGATTATGGTGAAAGATAATGGTATATGAGACTAGATCATGATAGATGCAATGATATTTTATGATGGGCCGTGTCTACTTGGTGGCGAACTACCCGCGAATCGTAAGTGGGTTATAACCCCAGTTATAAATGGGATTTTTGTAGGGTTAATCCACTTATAACTGGGGTTATAACCCACTTACTAAGTGGGATGAGCCACCAAGTACCTTTTTCATCCTTTTTTCCTCATCAAGTTGTTGGTCTATCGCAGCCCGTCCCTCTCTGCGAGGTTGACGACTACCGCGTGCGTTCCGTGTGTATTTCGCCCTCCCCACCGTTGCCAGACCGGAAGCAGCGGGGCGCCCCAGTGCTGGCTCCGAATTTCTGGGTCTCGTGGTATCCCGAAATGGGAAGCTACGTAGCAAAAAAAGACACATCTATAGCAACTGTTAAAAAAAAGGACATGGGGAGGTGGTCATCATTCATCATAATTCCTCATTATTCAATTTATTCATCATCGTTCGTCATCATTCATTATTCTTCATCATCATGCAGCATCATTCGTCCAAAGAATTACTTCAGACCATGCAGTGCAAGGGGCAGGGCGCCAACAAGTTTTCGACACTGCTGCTGATTTAAAGTTCCACCGACTGCTGAGCATTCCCAGGATCAATCTATGGCACTCGTGGAACCCTGGGATCATGGATGAAGCTCGCAATCTGGCATCACCCATCATCACCCTTAGCAGAAGGTGGTCATCAACCACTCCACACTGCTTCTGGTTTATGCCGAATGGAATTTGATCTGTCACACCTCCAAAACGGAGAACACAAATGGGTTTTGTTCTTCATGTTTTATCTGCCATAAAAACACCGATTCAAAGATCAGAAAAGGCACATATTTTCACCATTCAAAACAGAAATTGTGTGCTGAGACCATGAAATTGAATCCGTCGATTGCTGATCAATCCACTTCTTTTTTTAGCAAACGAACCATTTTTAGGCAAAATTGGCAGGATCCCGTTATATTTACAGGTCAAATCCCTAGATTTAGCAGTAAAATCCCTATATTTCCCAGTAAAATCCATAGTTTCTACTGTTTCCACTTACGATTTTCCCGATTTTCCCTCGCCGAAAATCGAAAATTACCAGGATCTGTAGCCTTGTGGTGTCAGATGATGAGGACCCCGTCACGGATGGAGAGGATTTGTTCTCCAAAGAAATTAGATGAATGTTGTTTCATGTGATTTAATACGTGATTTCATGTGATTTCCTGTGATTTAATATGTGATTTCATGTGATTTTATGTTGGTTGATGTTATTTGGCATAGGATCCATGTATGGTATAGATGCTAACATTTGGGGTATATTGATGGTACATGTTACCATATATAGCATACATGGATCCTATGGGTTTGGCATTTTCCTCAACATTTCTAGTAGCCAACGGTACCATGTTTTTTTCCGCGAAGCTGCATGGTTTTTGGATTATATATTGTGGGATTCATGCAACTGCATGGGCAACTCGCAGCAACGCTGCGAGTTGGAAGGGGAGAATCCAACCATGGATGGTTTAATGGTGTTTTAATGGAATTTAACGAAGAAAAATGAGATTTTATAGTGATGTAGTTGGTTTTTATACTGATTCAATGGGATATTAATGGGATATACCATCTGGTAGACATACAAAAAACTATGGAACATCACCATTTTTCATGGGAAAATTCACGAACTTTCTATGGTGATTGTCCATAGTTATGTTAGTCATTACCAGAGGGTACAGTTTGCATAGAATCTGCCATTTTATGTACCCTCTGGTTATTTAACATAGCCATGGAAAATCCCTTATAAATGGAGGTTTTAATGGGAAAATCATCTATAAATGGGCCATTTTCCATGGCTATGTTAAATAACCAGAGGGTAATTGTAACTTATGTAACCAGTAGTAATTAAGGGAGGCTTCTTCAACTGGACAATCCAACAGGTTTAGTTCGCCAGTGCCATCGAAAATTAGACCATAAAAAATGGTACCCCCCATTTTAGGAAACCTCCATAGATATTATATATACGTATTATGTCTGATGCTAATATGATTGATATGTGTTTGTCGATGAAGATCTAATACACAAGTGTATGTATGTATGTGTGTATATATATATATAAATACACAATATATATATATGATATATATATATATATGATATATATATATGATATATATATATATATATGTTCAGTCACATGTGCATATGTTTGTGACCTGGAACATAATGACATCTTCATCTACACAGCTTTGCATGGGACTTGTTGCCTTCAGGACGAAGAAGCGATGGACAGAGTGATGTGGAACCCCATCGTGCGGCCTCCGAATCATTCGGAATTCGGAAGTGGAGAAAAATGGATGTCGATTCGGTTGAATCACACTTATAAGGGAGGAAAAAATCGAATATTTCATAAGGGCTGGAAAAATATTTCAAGTACTGGATTCTGGACTTATGACAAAAATCGAATCAGATTCTGGAGGAAAATCACCCGTTTATTTTCATCAGGGGTAGATTGTCACACTTAGAAGCAAGGCTTATCCCTTTTCATTCTTCATGCAGTTAGGAGCATCATACCTTCATCCGGGGAAGCAACACAAAAGGCGCATTTTCAAGGGATGGTTGTAGTGACCTGAATCCGTGACCATGATTCCACAACACCTCAACCGTATTTTGTCCTTTCCTGAATCTCATATAAATATATACGTATACATATCGAAATGATGTATATGTATAACCGGCAAACGAGATTTGGAATCAACTAGGATTGTATACCTTTATCTGAGGTGGGTTCCTCCGCTCAACAAGCCATTTCGGCCTTGCGTTTGGGACGCTCAGAAATTGTTGGCCAGTGAGCCGCAAAGCAAACTTTTGGGGCAAAAAACCCAATTGGGTCCCGGTTTTTGGGGTCCCATTTTGGGGTCCCGATTTTCGGGATTTCGCACCCGAAAGATTGGTGATTGATTGGGTTGAAGCCCAGAAGGCGAAGTTTTCAGAAAGATTGGGAAGCCGCACAGCTTGTGCAAATCTGCGAGTGAGAGGTGTTCCAACCCACATAAACCATAGTGAAATGGGAGTTATGTTCACCAACTTAGCTAACGAACTGGGGCACCACCTTGTAGATTCTGCAATTTGGATACTTCTGCATATCTCCGTGTTTCGGGTTCCATCGAGATTTCAGGAACAGGAGTGAAAACCCATAGAGCATGACGGTAAGAGGTGCAGGGGGTTAATTCACCATTAGATCACCATTATTATGCGCTATATCAGCCAGTGATTCATCAAGCTTCCCTATTTTTTATTGCTCAGTGACATTTCATTTTCATAGATTATGAGAATATAGAATACCATTAAATTAACTCCCATTAGATCACCATTAAATCACCCTTAAATCACCATGAAATCAGCATGAAAATCACCATTTTCATTATAAATCACCATTAAATCACCATTTTCATGAAAAATCACCATTAAATCACCGTCTTTCCCCGTCTCTTTCGTAGAAGCCGTTTCTTTAGGTGACGCCTTTGGCGTGCTGGGCGTGTGGCCCGCCGCCTGGGTGGCCGCGCAACGCGTGCCTTCGACAAATTTCGACACATCCTGAGATCATTGGATCATTGTAGGGTTATATATATATATTGATTCATAATATCTATATTACTATATATGTTATCTCTATATATTATATATATATATATATGATTATATATATGTGTCTTATAGTTATATTTATTAATGATTCTATATATTGATTATATATTGATTAATTATATATATGGTTTAAATAGACCGTATTGATGTTATATGGTTTATTTTTTTATGATGAATGATATACATATATGTATATATATATATACATGTTATATCACTATATATTTTTAATATCTGCAATAGATCATTATGGTTTAGATCATTATATGTAATATTGATGAACTGATTATTGTGGGTATGATTGTTATAATGGATGATCATTTAACGGATTATAACGATCACGTGATTGTTATTATTCATAGTTATTTTTAATTGGTTATAATGAGGATATGACTATTTAGATGAAACCCTACAATGATCTAATGAAGCATGTCGGTATCTACATTATTTTTATTATAACCCACATGCCTTCGACAGTACATGATGAAATGATGAATGTGGGTATGACTATTTAGATCATTTACCATAGTAATAGTAATAGTACAATTTTATAATAAATTTATGATCCAATGTAAAATAGTAATTTTACCCACAGGCCCCGTGTGTTGCCCAAGCCCAGAATAGCGTAAATTACAAGGATTTTTTGTTTACACTATATATACATCTCATATAAATTATCCCACCCCCGTTAAACTTCTACATTCGTTGAAGATCTTCAATAAGGCTTAGGGTTTAATTCTCCCACCCCGTTAAACTCTTACATTCATTGAAGATCTTCAATAAGGGTTTAATTCTCCCACCCCCGTTAAACTCTTACATTCCTTGAAGATCCTCAATAGGGGTTTAATTCTCCCACCCCGTGGAACTTCTACATTCGTTGAAGATCTTCAATAAGGCTTAGGGTTTAATCCTCCCACCCCGTTAAACTCTTACATTCATTGAAGATCTTCAATAAGGGTTTAATTCTCCCACCCCCGTTAAACTCTTACATTCCTTGAAGATCCTCAATAGGGGTTTAATTCTACCACCCCCGTTAAACTTCTACATTCATTGAAGATTCTTCAATAAGGGTTTAATTCTCCCACCCCCGTTAAACTCTTACATTCATTGAAGATTCTTCAATAAGGGTTTAATTCTCCCACCCCAGTGAGACTTCTACATTCATTGAAGATCTTCAATAAGGGTTTAATTCTACCACCCCCGTTAAACTTCTACATTCATTGAAGATTCTTCAATAAGGGTTTAATTCTCCCACCCCCGTTAAACTCTTACATTCATTGAAGATTCTTCAATAAGGGTTTAATTCTCCCACCCCCGTTAAACTCTTACATTCATTGAAGATTCTTCAATAAGGGTTTAATTTCCCACCCCCGTTAAACTTCTACATCATCATCATCATCATCATCATCATGAAATTTGCCGGGAACGTCCCTGTAAAGTTCCGGGCAACACGCAGGGCCTGGCCGTAATTTTACCCTCCAGTAAATTAACAGTTGGACCCTGGCAGATAGGCTTGGAAGATTACTTTGCACTAGAAAATCAGCATTTTTGATGGGAAAATCCACTATTTCTATAGCCATTTTCAATAGCTATTTTGACATAACCAGAGGGTATGATGTGTGATGAATATCTAATTATGATCCATCGTAAAAATCATTTACCCAAATTCCCATTAGATCATGTCCCATTTTTTTTCGATGATCCCATGGGGAATGTGGGGTAAAACCAATCAGGCTTTGATGGTGCAAATGGCATTGGGAATTACCCACATTAATGACAAAAATATGTATGTAGATATGTAAACAGATATTGTCTGTATATATGTCTGTTTTTATAAATATATATATATATATATGTATATATTATATATATATATTATATGTATTATACATATATATATATGTATTATACATATATATATATATATATATATGTCTAATCGTAACTGAGTAGTGTAGTAGTGGGGTGGACATACATTTTGCATGGTTACCCTCGCCAGTTACGATCCGTGGGATGAAGGCCGGATCTCTTACTGCCGACATGTCAGATGAGGTCATGCGAATCTGCCGTGCGAGGCGGAATGGTGGCGCAAGCCGTCCCCAACTGGTGGGTGGTTTCAAACATTTCAATCATTTTCCATTTCATATATGGGATGTAATCCTTCCCATTGACTTTCATATGTTTCAAGATGGTTACAACCACCAACCAGCTAAAGACGAATGTTCAAAGATCTGATGACGCGAAAACCATCGAAAACATGCGATCCACTTCAAGTTCGACCGCTCTTTTGTGGATTTCACCCTGCCGAGAATGGCTGCGGGAACCGGATGGTTCCCATGTGAAGTGATGTGGTGCTGTCAGCCTCCCCATAGGCCTGGTCTGAGACTGCTGGTGCGCTACTCAGTTGGGCGAAACCTTCACTAGCAGTGACCACTTTCAAGAATCTTGGGTCTGAAAATGGAAGAAAACTACCGAGAAAATTGCCTTTTAATGATTTTAATGGCGAACATGATGATACACCAGTGAAATTGGGGGGTTCCCTGTGCACAAATCCTCTGGCGACAATTCCTATCCTTTGGATGGCGACAAATCGTCATGCGGAACCCATCCCGACGGAATTGGACTTGGTTCTGTGACACATTTTCATGATAGGTCAAACATTTCTAGCATATCAATCTGCATGGAAATGTATCCGGATGGGTGTTAATCTACGTTGCTGTGCCCCAAAAGCCAAAACCATGGGTTTTTCCATCAAACATCAACAACTTCCGCCGGCTGAGGAGTTGGGTTGCGGCTCTGGCTTGCCATCTTTGTGCGCTTTGGCTCTAGGCCGGCTGAGGGTGTCGAAGCTTTTCGTTGGGATTGAAAACCATACAGAAGCTTCTTTTGGGGGCTTGAACATAGTAGCTGGTTGGCGGTTTGGAACATTTTTTAGTTTTCCATATATTGGGAATGTCATCATCCCAACTGATTCATATTTTTCAGAGGGGTTGTTTTCCATGGGTCATTAAATGTCCCCATTGAACATCACCCAACCATTAGGTATATGGTCTATAATGGCTACTATAAGGTGATGTTCAATATTCCCAAAATGGGACAGTTACCAACCCCTGTTTTCCAACTTCAAGGAAGCATTTGACATGTGTGTTCTCCAGTGTTCTCAACCGGCTCGGATCTTCCCTCCGATCTAGTCTTACTCAGGATCTCCTCAACCGGGGAACGGAACGGAGGATTTTTGCAGCTGTGATTTTCCAGTGGGACAGGTTTGATATGGAAAAAATCCCCTGACAGCCTCAAGTTCTGCAAACAGGATTTGGGAAGGCCTGCACTGATTGCACATTGTCTCAAGCTGTAGGTATAACCCCGTGATTGATCATCATTGTTCATTGCGCCATCATGTAGTACCCCGATCGCCAAGCCACTCCAGTAGTGAATCCAGACATGGGTTTGTCTGAATTTGAAGGGAAAACCACACCCCTCCCGACCATCCCGTGGTTTATCATAATTTTCCTTTCCCATTTTTCCTTTAATTAACATAGATCACCATGGGTTTTTCAAGAGTTAATCATATTAACTTTGTGCCCCAATGAGGTCCGTGAAATTGAAAAACCCGGCCGCATCGACTATACTTCCTATCTAAAACATTGGGGATTATCATGATCCATGAACTGGGAATAACCAGCCAGGGTCAGAATCTCCAGCAAGCCACATAGGTTCATAGCAGCCTAAAATTCATCATCAACCATTCTCTGGTTGGTGGTGACTGGAACCATGGAATTTTATGACTTTCCATATATTGGGAATGGAATTGATGAACTGCCACTTCACCATTTGATGTCTTTTTGCATGTTTTCCATTTGAGCTGCATTTGAACATATCCTGATCTGCAGCTGCCCCTTTCAAGCATTTGACAATTCGCGACTTGAAGGAAAACACTGAGGAGCTGTTGCATTTCGCACCTTGCCTGCACCTGCCGACGAGCAGGTTATGAGCCCAACGACCTCTTGGCTCTGAGATGATGCAGAGGAGGAGGGCAACAAAAGAAGAGCTCAAACAAGGAGCTGAAGAAATTCGGCAGGCTGATGCAAGGATGAGGACAGAAGCGGCAGCGTTGGGTGAGGAGCCAATAGAAGATGTAAAAGCAGATGAAGGGAAGTCAGAACAAGTAATGGAAAGCCTTGAAGATGGACCCCAACAAGTGGAAAGGTATGTAGAAGAGCCCCCAAAGAATAGCCCAGAAGTAGCCAATTCAGGATCAAGACCAGGTGTCCCAAGCACACCACCGCCACCACATCCTCCTGAGTTGGAGGTGAAATCTGCGGGTCTGCAAACACCAGGTCAGACCAGCACTGCCAGGAAATCTCCCGAGGTCAGGAGCTCTGTAGTTCAGCAGGATGAGAAGGCTGCTGGATCGGCTCTGTCTGATCGACTTCGAGAGGACGTTGCAACCACACCACTGTTCACTGAGGAACAAGCCAGGACCTTGAATGAGTTGCATGATAGGGCACCATGGCTGTACCAATCAGGACGGTCGGCATTCTCTCCATATCTTCATAGGCCTGCTTTCTTAGAGCATGAAGAGGATAGGCTTAGAGAAGGGTTGTCAGAGAGGGAACGCCAGTTGCAATATATGAGAGATCGGTTGTTTCAAGAGCAGAACGAAAAAGAAGAGCTGAAAAGAGCAGTTTCGTCAGTCTTGGAGGACAATCAACGCATGAAAGTTCGACTCCAGGACTTGGAAGCAAAGGTGAGAGATCCTGAGCAGAAGTTTTCGACTCCGGAAGGGTCACAGAAGCAGGAGGCCGAGACCACCAAAGAACCCCGAGGATCAAAGGAGGCTGAGACCACCAAAGATCAAAGAACAGGACCAGAAGCCGAAGCTTCCACCTCGGCACATCATGAGCCGAGACCAGAGGGAAGCGGAAGCCTGACTGAAAAGTTCATGCTTCTCATGATGGAGTCTATGAAAGAGATGCAGAAGAAGTACCTAGAGAGCAAAGATGAGGCTGGAATGGTCAGAGGAGTAGAAGTGGTCAGAAGTGGAGCACCAGAGCTTCCACCCTTGCCGGCATGGAACCCAACGCAGGGCCCCTTGCAACTGGGAGATTGGCTTCTACTACTAGAACCTTTGGTTGCTGACATGTCTGCCACGTCAGAGTTGTGGTGGAGCCTCATGTCAACAGCAGCAGAACAATGGTACCACAAGCATACAGCCTTGTCACCCCTGGACAGGAGTCAGCACCAAGCATCTCCGCCGTCCAATGTCCAGCTTGACAAGTGGCAGCGGTTAGAGAGGAGGATGTCGGCGATGCTACTCCAATCAATCCCGGAGATGATACGGGATGAACTTGTGGCTTCACGACGTTTGAGCGTCTTTGGCATCCTGACTCATCTCTACACCGTCTACTGCCCTGGAGGTGTCTATGAGAAACAGACCCTCCTCAAAAGCTTGGAAGAACCAGCGGAAGTTACTTCGCTGACTGAAGCACCGGCGGCCATCAGGAAATGGTTGAGGTGAAGGAGAAGAACAGAGGAGATCGGGGCAGTGGCTCCGGACCCAGCCTTGTTGCTGAAGGGACTGAATCGCTTGACGCGCAAGGTCATCGAGCCGAACAAGGAGCTGCAGTTTCGCATCTCGATGGTGCGTAACAGCCTGGGGGTAGACACAACCCCCACAGCAGTGACAGTTGGTCACTTTGCCACACACCTCCTGGCAGAGATCGAGCAAGTCGCCCTCACAGAGAAGCGATCAGCACCAGCAACGAGAACAGAAGCACCGAAGTTGAAGGCCTTTGAGGTTGACAAGGCCGACAAAGGAAGAGCAAGGACTTCAGAGAAGCAAGCAGAAGAAAGCACAGGCAAGCCAAGATGCAAGTTCTACCTCAGTGAGGCTGGATGTCGGAAAGGAAAGCAGTGCACCTACTCTCACGACGTCAAAGACGAGAAAAGACGCTGCTGGACATGTGGCGCTGTGGATCACATGGCATCGTCATGCACAAGACCCAAGTCCACCTCAGCTGAGAGCAGTCCCACAAGGCCGAAGGTCATGAAGATCGAGGGGGAGGAGAAGACACCTTCCTCAAAGGAGACAGATGCCCAGTCTTCGGCACCTTCTGAGGTGTCAATGAAGGAGCTCATGGAGGAGGCAAACAAGATGCTCAGATCGTTGTCCTCTTCTGGAGGAGCCCCATCACCACCAACAAGCCCTACTTCAAAAGAGGAGGATGCCAAGACTGAACTGATGGAGAAGCTACAGCAGCAACTCAACAGCATGAAGCTCAAGACACTGCGTTTGGGACGGATGTCAACAGAAGGAAGCCAAGGCCTCATTGACAGCGGGGCCACCAATCCACTACGTCCCAAACGATGCGGCGAAAGGATTGAGCACTACAAGAAGCTAGAAGTGTCCCTTGCAGATGGGACCACAACCAGACTTCCAGTCTCTCCAGGAGGGGCGATGGTGAGCGCCAACGACAATACGGAGCCGATCGTTCCAATGCATCAGCTCACCGGCCTCTTGGGGTGTGAAGTAAGATGGAAAGGCCAGGAGTTGGAGGTCATTCACCCAGACCGTGGCAAGCTGCCTGTTCAGCACTCAGGAGGCTGTCCACAGGTAACAAGAGCACTTGCCATTGACCTCATCTCGGAGATTGAGGACCGAGTCCAAGGCATTGGCACTGAGAAGAGCCAGTTCACAGAAGAAGAAGGTTGGATGAGGAAGCTGGTACAAGAGCACCCAGTACTCAAAAGCCTTCCGCCTTGGATTCAAGAGAGGCTGGTGGTATCCCCAGGAGAATGGTCTGGGCTGCCGCTAAACAGAAGGATCAGGAGGAGGTTGAGACAAGAAGGTTTTGTCCTCCACCTCTATGCAGGCGAAAAAGAAGGGTTCAGCTTGCAGAGAGCCCTCAAACAGGTTGGAGGAGATGAAGCGAAGCTGCTGGAGATTGACATCAAAAGAGGTCCTGAGCACGACATGCTCAGTGACACCAAGGTGTATCCCAGTCTTCTACGAGCAGCACTTGAAGGAAAGTTGAAGGCGGTCCTAGGAGGGCCCAACTGCAGAACACGAAGTGTTCTCCGGCACTACCCCATAGAGGGGAATCCCCAAGCTCCGCGACCAGTCCGAGAATGGGATGGAGGAGAATTTGGGAAGAAAGACTTGAGCCCACAAGAGGAAGCTCAAGTGAGAGAAGATGACATTCTTCTCTGGAGGATGGTGTTCCTCTACATGGTGGCCAACTATGTATCCAAAGCTCGAAGCCACAGCCAGGTCCACTTTGCACTTGAGCAGCCAGCATCACCCCAGGAGTACATGCCACAAACAGTGAGCTTCTGGGACACCAAGCAGTGGAAAGAACTCAAGGCCGAGTCCAATTTCGAGGAGATCACCTTTGAACAGAAGAGGATGGGTGGTCCAGCAACCAAACCAACAACAGTAGCAGGCACACTTGAACTAGATGTAGGAGATGATCGATGGACCAAAGGCAAGAGCTGTGCCAAGATCTCCAACTCAAAAGATCTGGCGAGATGGCCACCAGGTCTGATGCACATGATGGCCACAGCCATCGTCGAACAAGTTTTGCACCAGGAAGTGCAAATCAAAGTTCTGTCATGGCAAGAACACTTAGCATACAACCACCTGCCGTACCGACGTGACTGCAGGGTGTGTCAAGAGTCCCTGCAGCAGGCAGATCTCCATCGGCGGGTTCGCAACCCGATGGGCGGTATCCTCAGCATCGATGTTGCTGGTCCAATGAAGCCAGCATATGATCAAGGAGGAGGACAAGCACGGTGGATCTTGGTGGGGGCATTGTCATGGAGAGTCCCACGGGGATCCACAAAGATGAAACAGCCAACAGAAGAAGCATTAGAAGCAGATGCTCCAGAGATCGAAGAAGGCCAGGCAGAAGAAGAAGACCAGGCAGAAGAAGATGGCCAAGAAGAAGAAAGTGAAAGGCAGCAGCAAGGGGAGGTTGGCGGAGGCGTAAGTCGGGGTGGAGGAGACCCCGGCAATCGCCCGCCCGGCGGTGACGGACGTCAGGGTGGAGGAGACCCTGGCAATCGCCCGCCCCCAGGTCGAGGAGTAAGTCGGGGTGGAGGAGACCCCGGCAATCGCCTCCCTGGTGAAGGAGCACGTGAGGGTGAAGAAGACCCGGCACAGCTCCCTCCCAACATAGAAGAAGAAACTGAGCTGCGTGTCTTTCGAATGGCCCTGCCGATGGTGACGAAGACAGCCAAAGAGGTCACCCGAACCACCATGGAATTCCTGCTTAGGCTCAGAGCAGATGGGTATCAAGTGCACAGAATCCACTGCGACAGAGGCCACGAGTTCGCAGGTGAGTTCAAAAGATGGGCCAATGCGCGGGGAATTCACATAACCCGCACACCGGGTGATGATCCGAGAGGAAACGGAAGGGCCGAGGTTGCAGTGAAGGCGATCAAAACCCAGATCAGAAGAACTTTGAGCCAGGCCTGCGAAGACTCCAAATGGTGGCCATGGGCGTGCCGCTATGTGACAGAAATCAACCGATGTGTGAGGTTGGATGAGAAGCCGGAATGGCCAAGGTTTCTGAAGGAAGTTCGAGTGAAGAAGAGAAGATGGAAGAGAGGAGACTTCGAAGTTGGAGTCGAGAAAGTTCAGTACCTATGTCCATCGACAGAGGACCATGGACATTGGGTATACAAAGAGGGCGAAGCACCAAGGGTGACAAAATGCCTGATGAGGCCAACAGAAGAACCCCTGGACGAGAGTGTCTGGGTTGCCATCGAGAAAGAGATGGTAGACGCACTGGTGCTTCGAAGAAGATTGAGGCAGAAGACATCAGTGAGGAGGTTGGATGCTTCGATGAAGGCACCCAAAGAGGAAGATGATCAAAGGAAGAAGATCCGGGATCGGATCATGAAAGTGGTAGAAGAAGAGGCTCGGCAGATCATAGAGGATGATCCTGAGCTGGCATCTGAGGAGCTCAAGATTGTGGCAAAATTGAAGAAGATGGCAGAAGGAATTGAAATGGAGGAAGAAGAAGTACTCCAAACGAAGATAGTGGGACCGAGAGAGGTCGCCGCTAAATGGAAGGATTGGCTTCCGGCCATTGAAGCAGAAGTACACTCCTTGGTGGTAGAAAAGGAGGCCTTGAAGATGCTGTCAAAGGAGGACTTCAAGGAGTTGAAAGAAGCAACAGAGAGAGCAGGCACCAAGCTGGAAACAGTTCCTTCAAAGATGGTGTTCACCGTCAAGCCTGGACCTGATGGTGGAAGACCCAAGGCAAGATGGGTCGCATGCGGGAACTATGAGTCCAAAAAGGATGATGAGAACAACTACTCAAGTGGCGCAGATGCCACAGCGTTCAGAGTCTTGGTTTGGAAGTCAGCGAAGGAGCAGTGGGTGGGTGTGGTGATTGATGTGAAGACAGCATTCCTGAATGCAGCGATGGATCAGAAAGGAGACGAAGGAATCCTTCTGATCAAACCACCAACCATCCTGGTGGAAAAGCAGTTTATGACCAAAGAGGCTCTTTTCTTGCCACTCCGTGCTGTATATGGCTTCCGAAGATCTCCAAGACTTTGGGGAGATCACAGAGATAGCGTCATGAAGACCATCAAGATCCAGTTCGTCAGCTCTGGTCAAACCGTGGAGCTAGTCTTGGAGCCCCTGGAGTCAGAACCCAACTTGTGGAAGGTAGTCAAGGCCGAGGGGGAGAAACAACGAGAGCTGGAAGAAGAGTTTCAACTGTATGGCATGGTCATGACGTACGTGGATGACATTTTCATCTCTGGCTGTCAACCAGTTGTGGAGGCGCTCCTGAAAGAGTTTCAAAGCATCTGGGCCACTTCGAAGCCAGAGTGGGTTTCGTCATCACCGGTGCGTTTCCTGGGCATGGAAGTGACCAAGGAGGTGGACCCTGAGACACAACGAGAAGTATGGCTCATAACACAGGAGTCATACATCAAAGATCTCGTGAGCCGTCAAGAAGAAGAAGTCAAAGAGAAGAAGATTCCAATATCACGAGATCAAGCAGCCATGGAGGTTGATGAGGAGCCTCCCAGCATAGAGAGGGTCAGAAAGTGTCAGAAAGCGGTAGGAGAAGTGCTCTGGTTAGTCACTAGAACCAGACCGGACATAATGTTTTCAGTAGCCCGCATGGGTGCGAACGTCACTCGCGCCACCAGGAAAGTGATGGAAGCAGCTTCACAACTCTGGGGCTTTCTGAAAAAGACAAGTGCAGAAGGCTTGAGGTATGAGGAAGAGACAGAAGAAGAACCGGTTGTCCAGGTGTATACCGACGCGTCCTTCGCGCCGGAAGGTGAAGAGTCACACGGCTCTTACCTGGTCATGGTCAATCGATGTCCGTTGTTCTGGCGATCTGGTCGTCAGGCATCAGTGACGCTCTCAACTGGCGAGGCAGAGCTGAATGAGCTGGTGGAGGGACTCAATGCAGGAGAATCAGTAGCAGTGCTGATAGAAGAAATCAAAGCTGGTGTCAGAAAAATGGCTTGGACTGACAGCTCAACAGCAGTGAGCATCCTCACCAGTGAAGGAGGCTCTTGGAGAACGAGACATCTCCGTTTGCGCTCCTCCTACGCCAGACAGGCGATCTTGGGAGGAGAATGGGGTCTCAACCACTTGCCAGGAGAAAAGATGATCGCAGACATCGGCACCAAAGCATTGACTTCTACAAGAATTGAAACACTCAAGTCAATGATGGGCATGGGGAAGAAAAGAAAAGAGGAGGAAGTAGGAAAAGAAGCGAACCTGCCAGCAGAGAAGCAGGTTGCATCAACTGAGCAGGCGATTGCAGCTGTTCGCCTGATCACTCTGGTCGCCATGATGTCCGTGGCCAAGGGTGAAAAACAAGAGGAGGAAGATATGGAAAGTTTCAATGCGTTTCACTGGATGGTCGCGGCGTATACCGTGATGGTCATCGTCGCCACCGTCACTGTTCAGGCTGTTTGGAAGGTCGCAGTAAGGATGAGACAGGGAGAGACCGAAGAGCCTCAATCCCGGAAGTCCCGAAGTCGCCCCAACAGCCAAGGAAAAGATTGCGCGACGCTGCTGGACAGGGGGATCATTCCAGGTGATGCGGTTGAGGGTAGAGGAGACCCAAACCAGCTCCCTGAAGCAGGTGAGGCGGCTAAGGAGAGCCAGCCCCCTGAGGCATGTGTGGCAGTTCCGGGTGGAGGAGACCCAGGACGGGCCCGTGCCGGCCATGGTGGCCCTTCGGGTGCGGCATCATCAGGCCAAACCCTTGATTCCCTGATCCAGCAGCAGATCGCAGATGATGAACGTTGGGAAAGAGAATGGAGAGAGCTAGAAAGAGATGAAGCTATGATTCAAAGAGAGCTGAATACACCAGGGAGCGCACTGTGGACAGAAGATGATCCACCTGAACCAGCGACTGACTTTGATGTCTACTATACACAGTATGGAGCTGTGTACCATCAAGATCGAGCATGTGGCCACCTGAAAGGGCCCAAGGTTGGACAGGTGTTTGAAGGAAGATGGTGTCGAACGTGCCAAAAGAAAGCGGGTCGTCAAAACAAGGCTCCGCTACCAGGAAAAGAAATTTTGCTTGGAAAGTCAGTCAGAATTTTCCACACAGATCTCCAGTGTCCAAAAGGAAGAAAGAATGAGAGAACTCCAGTGTGTCAAAGCTGCGGAGTGAAGAACACATAGGGGTAGTTTGAGCGGCGAATGATTTCCCCCTATCGGGGTCATCAAGGGGGAGTGATGAACTGCCACTTCACCATTTGATGTCTTTTTGCATGTTTTCCATTTGAGCTGCATTTGAACATATCCTGATCTGCAGCTGCCCCTTTCAAGCATTTGACAATTCGCGACTTGAAGGAAAACACTGAGGAGCTGTTGCATTTCGCACCTTGCTTGCACCTGCCGACGAGCAGGAATAATCATCCCAACTGATTATATAATATTTTTCCGAGGGGTAGGTCAACCACCAACCAGTATTTGATATCAATGACATCCACATTTTGCGACGTGAAACCGCAGATGTCTGGTCGTTTTCTGATCAGAAAATCATCAACCTTTTGGGCGCAGCGGAGAAACCGGTGGGGATCTCCTAAACGAGATGCTCACACGTTCGATGATTTAGAAAACTCCAGGGTGAAACGTTCGATGATTGTTTTACTACTCAAGTAGATAGGTCACAGTTTTCATGGAGATTTTTTTTGGGGGTTGACTCAAGTGGATGTTTTTTTGAACCACTCGGGTTGTACCACATTTTGTGGTCCAAAACCTCCGGGAACTCCCCGTTAAATCAGAGTTTTCTTAAAAGCCAGGTACGTGGTGGTTAAATCATGTTAACTCATGTTACCCTCTGGTAAACTAACATAGCTATGGAAAATGGGAGACGCATCAAAAAAAATAAAAATGCATCAAAAAAAATATAAATGCATCAAAAAAAATAAATGACCATACAGGAGGAAAGGAAGGAAGGAAGGAAGGAAGGAAGGGAGGGAGGGAGGAAGGAAGGAAGGACGGACGGAGGGAAGGAAGGAAGGAAGGAAGGAAGGAGGGAGGGAGGGAGGGAGGGAAGGAGGGAAGGAAGGAGGGAAGGAGGGAAGGAGGGAAAGAGGGAAGGAGGGAAGGAAGGAAGGAGGGAAGGAGGGAAGGAGGGAAGGAAGGAAGGAAGGAAGGAAGGAGGAAAGGAGGGAAGGAAGGAAGGAAGGAAGGAAGGAAGGAGGGAAGGAGGGAAGGAAGGAGGGAAGGAGGGAAGGAAGGAGGGAAGGAAGGAAGAAGGGAAGGAAGGAGGCAAGGAGAAGGAAGGAAGGAAGGAGGAAAAGAGGGGAGGAAGGAAGGAGGGAAGGAGGGAAGGAGGGGCCACCACGGGCAGCGTGCAAAGTGCTGCTGAGCTGCTAGAGTTAAGGGGTTTCCAAAGCTATTTTCTGGCCTCGTTTTGGCATCGTTTTTGGCCTCGTTCGGAACCCGTTGCAGAAATATTGAGCTGAGATGCAAGTCAGAACCACATAGATGTGTTTCCAAAACATACCAAAAAATACATGAATCATGCGCTAACATTTTGTTTTGAACCCAAAGATAACATTTCTATACATTTCTTAGATGTACTTGTTATCCTTTAAACATTAGAAGTCGGAGGGGCATTTAATTTGTTGTTTTTTTTCTCCTTGGTTCCTGGTGGCTCCTGGCTTCTGCTACTGCTACTACTACTGCTACTGCTTTTTCATAAGCATCATCCTTTCCTTGGGCTCATTTCAACTTTATTGATATCCATCGAGACATGTGCCTATGTGCTTCTTTCTTGGTACGCATTGCGGGGGGAGGCGCTGCGCCCTCCCCCCTGCGCCCCCCACCCGCTTTTTTTTTATTAGCATTTCCTTTTTGACGACTACTACTACTGCGACGACGACTACTACTATCTCTATTACTATTGCTATTACTATTACTATTAATTACTATTACTATTGCTACTACTTCTACTACTACTATTACTACTACTAACTACTGCTGCTGCTACTACTACTGCTACTGCTACTGCTACTACTACTGCTACTGCTACTGCTACCCCTGCGACTATTGTTATTCTTACGACGACAACCACATCTACTACTACTACTACTACTACAACTACTACTACTACTACGACTACTACCACTACTACTACCACTACTACTACCACTACTACTACCACTACTACTACCACTACTACTAGTACCACTACTAGTACCACTACTACCACTACTACTACGACCATTACAACCACTATTGCTGCTGCTGCTACTACTGCTGCTGCTACTGCTACTGCCACTGCTACTGCTACTGCTACTGCTGCTACTACTACTACTATTATTACTACTACTACTATTACTACTACTACTGCTACTACTACTACTACTGCTACTACAACTACTACTGCTGCTGCTGCTGCTACTGCTACTGCTACTGCTACTGCTACTGCTACTGCTGCTACTACTACTACTATTACTACTACTACTACTACTACTCCTGCTGCTGCTGCTGCTGCTACTAAAATATTTTTTTTTGATACGGATATTTTTTTTTTGATCTAGGTTTGCAGCACGAGACTCAGGAGGTCTCACACAGTGGCATCTGGATATTTTTTTTTTGATGCATTTTTTTTTTTGATGCGTGCTGGATAGCTACTGCTACTGCTACTACTACTGCTACTGCTACTGCTACCCCTGCGACTATTGTTATTCTTACGACGACAACCACATCTACTACTACTACTACAACAACTACTACTACTACTACCACTACTACCACTACTACTACCACTACTACTACCACTACTACTACCACCACTACTACCACTACTACTAGTACCACTACTAGTACCACTACTACCACTACTACTACGACCATTACAACCACTATTGCTGCTGCTGCTACTACTGCTGCTGCTACTGCTACTGCCACTGCTACTGCTACTGCTACTGCTACTGCTGCTACTACTACTACTATTATTACTACTACTACTATTACTACTACTACTGCTACTACTACTACTACTGCTACTACAACTACTACTACTACTGCTGCTGCTGCTGCTACTGCTACTGCTACTGCTACTGCCACTGCTACTGCTACTGCTACTGCTGCTACTACTACTACTATTACTACTACTACTACTACTACTCCTGCTGCTGCTGCTACTAAAATATTTTTTTTTGATACGGATATTTTTTTTTTGATCTAGGTTTGCAGCACGAGACTCAGGAGGTCTCACACAGTGGCATCTGGATATTTTTTTTTGATGCATTTTTATTTTTTTTTTGATGCGTGCTGGATATTTTTTTTTGATGCATTTATATTTTTTTTTTGATACGTGTCTCCATGGAAAATCACCATTTTCAATGGGTAAATCCACTATAAATGGCCATTTTCAATAGCTATGTTAGTTTACCAGAGGGTAACTCCTCTAAGAAAATAACAAATCAACATCAATCAACCAGGGAACTAAACATGGTATCAGTGTATTTTCAAAACATTAAGAATCTATAGATATCTATAGATCAACATCAATCAACCAACATTTTTCCCATGAAGAATCCATGATATTTCCATATTTCCTGGTTCAAACCATTAGCGAAAGCCGGCATTTTCCAGGTGCTCATGTGGTGGCCACCGACCTCGAGGAATTGCCCTTGCAACTCCTGAAGGTGCGGTTTTTTGCGATGGATTTCAAGAACTTTGGCGAACGAAAAATACTCTCTGGTAATTTAACATAGCTATTGAAAATGGCCATGTATAGTGGATTTACCCATTAAAAATGGTGATTTTCCATAGCTATATTAAATTACCAGAGGGTAACACATGTTTGATGATTTGTTTTGGTCAGCATGTTGAACATTAAAATTGATGACAATTGCTTTTTTTGACAATTTCTTGTTGGGCATTTTTCTGATTGACCCTTAAAATTGATGAACATTGATGAACATTGATGAGCATCACGGGGATTTGGTGAACCGGAAATAGAGACAATCAGCATGATTTTGCGATGTCTGATTTTGCGAAGATTGCATTGTTTATGGGGACTTTTTTTGCCAGAAGATGGTTATTTTAGACAGAAATGCTTGGAGATTAAATATCGCGACAGCCTGGTGTTTTGAATAATAAATAGTGTGGAAATATATCTAAGCCAAGATCCACCAAGAGGGGTACTGTTTGGGAAGCATCTCAAGCGGTCATCTATAGTGTTGGTTTTCCGGACAAGAGGTGGTGAGTATGCGCTGAATGAAGATTTGCTCACATGACTGGTATCAGATGCTCCAAACAACAGATTTGCCCTTGAACGACTCGTTCCTAATTACTATACAGTAACGTAATTTGAAATAGCTATGGATAATCACCATTGTTAGTACAGGATGGTGCCCCCCAGTTATACGTTGGTTTATAAACCCCATTAACTATAGTTATATCTGCCATAAACCATGGTTATAACCAACTTAGCTAACTATGGGGCACCACCTTGTAGGCAAATCATCTAAACATGGGCCATTTTCGATGGCGAACTGTTTCTGAGTTTTGGTTTCTGAGATTTTCTGAGTGTCGGCTGCAGTTTGTGCGCCTGAAAAAATATGACCCAAACCCTTCTGTGACTGCCATTTTAACCCATTTCCCTCTACTACAATGTGAGGCCCCCAAGATAGCTAAGTTGGTTTATAACTCCAATAACTATGGTTTATGGTACTTATAACTATAGTTACTGGGGCTTATAAACCAACTTATAACTGGGGGGCCTCACATTGTAGTTACTAGTAGTTGTTTTGGAATATAAGATGACACACTATAAAACAATATAATACAATACACTGTAATGCACTATAATGTAATATAACGTAATGCTATGAACATAATATGATATACTATAATATGATATAAATAATGTAATTGCCACATATTAATGCTATATGTTTTCTTACTGGTATAATGACATACTAGACTTTAATACACAATAATAATAGTTATAGAGTGAAATAACATGAAACAGGAAATGATTTGATGTATGTATGCTGTATGATATATGACATGATGCATGACACATGATACGATATGATACATGATACGATATATGCAATGGTATATAACATGATACATTATACCATATATGATATGATAATGATATGTGATAAAATGAATGATTCATGATGTATGTGGAATATGATACGTGATACGATGAATGGTATTTGTGCTATGATATTTGATATGATATGATATGTGGTACATGATGTGACATATGATATGTTGCAGGGTATGGTAAACAATATGATGTATGATATGGTATATGATACGATGCATGATGCGACATATGATACGATATATGATCGGATATATGATTCAGTACATGATACGCTATATGTTACTTTATAATAGTTAGTTTGACATATGATATCTGATATGATATGTGATACATGATATGATTTTTTCATGTGAAGTCATATGATATGCTTTGCTATGATATAATATAATGTTATATACTGTAATGATCTATAATGTAACATGAACTGAGATAATACATAGTACAATATCATACACATCAATATTCAATGGATTGGTTTAAGGAAAATCTACAGGAAACCATCGATTTTCCCATTAAATATGGGGTTTTCCTGTAAATTTTCCCTTAAACCAATCCATATTTCAATATAAACATGAACATCGCCAGCCACTTCCGGTCTCTCAGATGCACATCACAGGCAGCCTTCGAAGCTCAAGAACTGCCGGGTGAACTGGAAACACAACAGGCGTGGAAAAACCCGTCCGATGAACCAACAAAAACTATGGGATGAAGCAACAGAAATGGGGAGATCATAGGATTTTTTCTAGTTGGTTTCGGTGGTTTTGGAAAAGTGACGAATTTTGAAAGTTGGGAAACACAAACATAGCTAGGCCAACTATTAATAGGATTTATATGGATTTATGGTAGATATGTAGTTGGATGGGTTTTGTAAATAAAGTTAGAACTGCGACGCACCACTTTGTAGGGGAACCAATGATGCTGTACTTGAAAAAGGAGTAATGAATGACCTTCTTTGATGATTAGGTGGCCAGCAGCAAATGTGAATTCTCCACATGTCACCTATTTATCACATCAACCCTCAACCAAGGGAATAAGTGTAAGTAAACACATGTGCCAACCGTTTGTAAGGTAAACATGGGTACTCGAGCGTGAATGTGTGTTGATTGTTTTCAGTTTTGTATTTGCTTACTTGTCTCACTTGACATGTGCTATGATGATCCTTGCAAGTTTCCATTCGGCAGACCCTAGTACTCCATAGTGGGTACGTTGTGGAAACCGCTTGTGAGTTATACACCGTCCTGCTGTCTGAGAAGCACATTGATGTTGGCAGGGGTACTCGAGTGTGAATGTGTGTTGATTGTTTTCAGTTTTGTATTTGCTTACTTGTCTCACTTGACATGTGCTATGATGATCCTTGCAAGTTTCCATTCGGCAGACCCTAGTACTCCATAGTGGGTACGTTGTGGAAACCGCTTGTGAGTTATACACCGTCCTGCTGTCTGAGAAGCACATTGATGTTAGCAGGGGTATTCGAGTGTGAATGTGTGTTGACTGTTTTCAGTTTTGTATTTGCCTACTTGTCTCACTTGACATATGCTATGATGATCCTTGCAAGTTTCCATTCGGCAGACCCTAGTACTCCATAGTGGGTACGTTGTGGAAACCGCTTGTGAGTTATACACCGTCCTGCTGTCTGAGAAGCACATTGATGTTAGCAGGGGTATTCGAGTGTGAATGTGTGTTGACTGTTTTCAGTTTTGTATTTGCTTACTTGTCTCACTTGACATGTGCTACGTGATACATTGCAACGTTTCCTTCGGCAGACCCTAGTACCTCCATAGGTGGGTACGTTGTGGAAACCGCTTTGTGGTTATACACCGTCCCTGCTGTCTGAGAAGCCAACATTGATGTTGGCAGGGTACTCGAGTGTGAATGTGGTGTTGGCGTTTTTCAGTTTTGTATTTTGCTTACTTGTCTCCACTTGCATATGCTATATTGACTTGCACGGTTCCATTCGGCAGGAACCATAGGTACTCCATAGTGGGTACGTTGGGAAAACCGCTTGTGAGTTATTTAAACAGTCTTGCTGTCTGAGAAGCACATTGATGTTGGCAGGGGTATTCGAGTGTGAATGTGTGTTGACTGTTTTCAGTTTTGTATTTGCCTACTTGTCTCACTTGACATGTGCTATGATGATCCTTGCAAGTTTCCATTCGGCAGACCCTAGTACTCCATAGTGGGTACGTTGTGGAAACCGCTTGTGACTTATACACCGTCCTGCTGTCTGAGAAGCACATTGATGTTGGCAGGGGTATTGGAGTGTGAATGTGTGTTGACTGTTTTCAGTTTTGTATTTGCTTACTTGTCTCACTTGACATGTGCTATGATGATCCTTGCAAGTTTCCATTCGGCAGACC